TCAGGCAGCTGGACTTCTTCATGTGGGTGAGGAGCCACCCACTTTTGTTTCTTATTTTCTCACCAATGCTTGAAGAGGAAAGAATGGGTAAGGGTGCTTGGTCAAAAAGGTGATCAGCACATGGGTTTGCTTGGTTTTGCTGGTTTGGCTTTGATATGGTTTTAACAAAGATGCTTGATGTTTTGCACGATGCTAGGCTGGACTATTGGTATTTTGTTTCCAGCGGCCTGTGAGTTACCTTTGATTTCGTCAGACTGCTGGAAGCTTTGGCTGATGTGGGATTTTTTATGGGCTATGGCTATTGGACATTTTTTAAAGATGTTTGGGCCTTTTCTTAAGGTGACGAGCTATTGGGTTTTCTCTCATGCTTGCTCATATGTTTGGACTCAAGGAATGAGCTTGAGTTTTGGTGCTCCCAAGTAGCCCAAAACTTCCACTCCTTGGACTATCAATGGGCCTCGTGAATACTTGTAACCATTCATACCACAACCCGCTCAGCAAGCCCCAGGCATTAGCGTGGCTTGGGCCCACTTAAGCTTGTAGCATGGCGTGTTGCTTATTTGTTTGGCGTGGCATGTGTGCAAGCGCATGAACTTTTGCATGCCCAAATCGGGTTTCTTCTCAGTAAGGTATCGCATTGGGCCGAGAATTTATTTGGGCCGAAGAGTAGATTTTTGGGCCTCAACAGAGACAAGCTAGTTGAAAAGGCTATGCTTGACTTGGGGGCTAGCATCAATTTAATGCCCTATTCAGTGTACCTTCAATTAGGCTTGGGGGATTTGAAGGCAACAACTATTTCATTGTAACTTGCTGATCGATCAGTGAAATATCCAAGAGGTATAGTGGAAGATATCTTAGTTCAAGTTGACAAACTAATTTTGCCTGCTGATTTTGTAGTGTTGGACATGGAAGAGGCTCCTATACATGATTGTGAGTTACCTATTTTTCTTGGGAGACCATTTATGGCCATGGCAAAGACTATCATAGATGTGCAAAATGGTCTCCTCACCATGACCGTACTAGGAGAAACTGTACAATTCAAATTGTTTGAGTCTCTTTCTCACCCTTCTAGTTCAATTGATTGTTGTTCGATTGATGTGCTTGATTCACTTGTTTTCTCTAAGTTTTTGCTAGCACAATCCAATGATCCATTAAAATATATTTTGAGTCAAGCTCAAAATGACTTTGATGAAGAAGTGCTCATGCAGATGGTGGCTCCCTTGGAAGCATTAAAACCATATCCCTCCATTTTTTCACCTCTTAGAGAGCCATTAGAACCATCTGCCACACATCTGATCCCTTATGTTGTTAAACCTCCAGAACTTGAGCTTAAACCACTTCCATCACATCTAAAATATGCTTACCTAGCTAAGTTTGAAACTCTCCCAGTTATCATAGCATTTGACCTCACCCCTTTGGAAGAAGATAAGCTAATTATGGTCCTAAAAGAGTTCAAATCAGCCATTGGTTGGTCTATTGCAGATATCAAGGGAATAAGCCCTACCATGTGCACGCATCGAATTTTATTGCAGGAGGGAACGAAACCAACTTGTGAACCACAAAGAAGGCTCAATCCACACATGAAGGAAGTAGTGAGAGCAGTTGCTAGATGTGGGTATCATATACCCGATTTCTGATAGGAAATGGGTCAGCGCTATTCACGTAGTGCCTAAGAGGATTGGAATCACAGTTGTAAAAAATGAGCACAAAGAGCTTGTTCAAATGAGACCTGCAGCTAGTTGGTGTGTTTGCATTGATTACAGGAAGTTGAATTCAAACACTAAAAAAGATTATTTTCTGATGCCTTTTATTGATCAAATGCTTGAGCGATTTGTTGGTCATGCATATTATTGTTTTCTTGATGGATATTCAAGTTATAATCAAATTGCTATTTCTCTAGAAGATCAAGAGAACACTACATTCACTTATCCTCTTGGGACTTTTGCATATAGGAGGATGCCTTTTGGCCTTTGCAATGCCCCAACAACATTCCAAAGATGTATGCTGGCAATCTTTTCAGATATGATTGAGAGATTTATTGAGGTATTCATGGATGATTTTTCAGTTTTTGGTTCTTCTTTTGATAATTGTCTTAACCATCTCTCTCTAGTGCTTCAAAGATGTCAGGAAACAAATATGATTCTCAACTGGGAAAAGTGTCAATTTATGGTGAAACAAGGTGTTGTGTTGGGGCATGTAATATCTAGTAAGGTTATTGAAGTTGACAAAGCAAAAATTGACATCATCTCAAATATGGCAGCCCCTACTTCATTGAAGGGAGTGAGAAGCTTTCTAGGACATGTTGGTTTTTATCGTCATTTCATTAAGGATTTTTTTGAGATCACTCATCCATTGTGCAATCTTTTGGCCAAAGATGTTGTATTTCACTTTGATAAAGATTGTATGAATGCATTTAATACCTTGAAACGTGAACTAACCTATGCTCCTATCATTATGGCACTAGATTGGTCTTTGCCTTTTGAGCTAGCGTGCGACGCCTCCGACTATGCTATTGGTGTTGTTTTAGGTCAAAGGGTAAATAAGCTGCCAAACGTAATCCACTATACAAGTCAGACATTAAACGATGCTCAACTCAATTACTCTACAACTGAGAAGGAGTTGCTTGTTGTTGTTTTTGCTTTAGAGAAATTTTCTTCATATCTTGTTGGCTCTCAAGTTATTGTTTACTCTGATCATGCAGCTCTTACGTTTTTGTTGACCAAGAAAGATGGTAAACCACGTTTGATAAGATGGATACTCATGTTACAGGAGTTTGACCCAGAAATTTGAGACAAGAAAGGGAGTGAAAATGTTGTTGCTGATCACTTGTAGCGCCTTGTTGATGAAAACCATGGAGATGGACAAATTTTTCCTCTGAACAAATCATTCCCGGATGAACAACTCTTTGTCATTCAAGATAAAGAGCCATGGTATACTGATTTTGTCAATTATCTTGCTTTTGGTGTAATTAGAGATGATTTTACTTTTCAGGAGAGAAAGAAGTTGTTTTCAATGTTGAAACACTACATGTGGGATGAGCCCTATTTGTTCAAGTATTGCCCTGACCAAATCATTCGAAGATGTGTTCCAGAGAGTGAGCAGCAAAGCATACTCGTGCATTGGCATGCGGAGGTCATTTCAGTGCCAAAAAGACAGCTTTAAATGTTTTACAATCTGGTTTCTTTTGGCCTACATTTTTTAAAGATGCTTTTAATTTTTGCTCTAAGTGTGATAGGTGTCAGAAAATTGGGAGCATCAATCGCAGGAATGAAATGCCATTAAACAACATTTTAGTGGTAGAGCTGTTTGATGTGTGAGGAATTGACTTCATGGGACCATTCCCATCTTCTTTTGCATACATATACATACTAGTGGCAGTAGATTATGTATCAAAATGGGTTGAGGAAACAGCTACACGAACTAATGATCACAAAGTTTTTTTGAATTTTCTCAAAGATATGATTTTCACTAGGTTTGGAACTTCGAGAGCTATCATTAGCGATGGTGGCAGTCACTTCTGCAACAAACCTTTCGAGGCATTGATGAAGAAGTACAACATCACACATAAAGTGGCAACTCTATACCATCCTCAAACCTCTGGACAAGTGAAAATCAACAATAGAGAAATAAAGAACATCTTGATGAAAACTGTCAGCCCTACAAGGAAGGATTGGTCACTAAGGTTGAATGATGCACTTTGGGCTTATCGAACAGCATACAAGACCCCAACTGGAATGAGCTCTTATCGACTGGTTTTTGGAAAGGCATGTCATTTGCCAACGGAGCTCGAGCACAGTGCATATTGGGCCATAAAGAAGTTCAATTTTGATCTCAAAGAAGCTGGTACGGTTAGGAAGCTCCAACTCAATGAGTTGGAAGAGCTCATAAATGAATCATACGAGAATGCAAGGATCTACAAAGAACGAACCAAGCTTTACCATGATAAAGCAATTCTTAGGAAGGAGTTTCAACCAGGTATGAAAATACTTTTGTATGACTCACGTTTGCAACTGTTTCCAGGTAAATTGAAGTCTAGATGGGTTGGACCATTCAAAGTGCTTCAAGTATTTCCCCATGGAGCTATGGGGATAGAAAACATCAAGAATGGCACCCGTTTGAAGGTCAATGGACAGCGTGTGAAGCCTTATTTGGAGAATGTTTCACAGGAGCAGGTTTATGTAGTTATGGATTCTCTTGAGTTTATGACAACTTAGACACACTACTATGTCTTGCCTAGACATTAAATAAAGCGCTTACTAGGAGGCAACCTAGCTGGGTTTGTGTTCTTTCCTTTTATTTGTGTTAGTTTTTAGTTTTTTATTTTATTTCATTCCA